GAATAGGAAAGTGAATAGAGACCAAAGTTTATTAGTGAATACCAGGAGTGGGAGGGAGGAGAAAAGGAGGACACTGCTCAGTCAGGCACTGAAGTCCTGTTAACAGTGGAACAATAATTTGGAAATGGATAATGGTGATTCTGTACAACATGATGAACATAATCAACGTCACTGAACGTATGTGCAAAAACTGAATTGGAAAACATTTTGTTATATATATTTTCACTATAATAAAACAACTTCTTTTTTTAAAAAAAAAAAGTTGATCCTAATATATAATTCTGTATAAACCTATACAGAATTACAAAGGACTAAAAATAATCACTGCAATCTTAAGAAAGAAAACAAAATTAGAATATCTATACTATCAGATAGGAGCTCTGGTAGCATAGTGCCTAAGGCACTTGACTGCTCACCAGAAGGCTGGCGGTTCAAACCCACCAGCCACTCCTGGGAAGGAAGGTTAGGCAATCCTACTTCCGCAGTGATACTGCCTCGGAAACCCAAGGAGGGGTCGCTATGAGTCGGGGTCGACTTGACAGCAAACAATAACAACATGCTATCAGATATATAAGGCTGTAGCAATTAAGACAGCGTATTATATGAAGTTAATCAAATAAATAAACAACAGTGACTAGAAAGTCCAGACACAAACTGACACAAATGTACTCTTTGTGATGTATGCAAAGATGACATTGCAGTACAGTGGGGAGACTATGATTTTTTCAATAACGATAATGGATATCCACATAAGCAAGAAATATATAATTTTGGTCCCTACTGCCACACAATTTACAAATATCAATTCCAGATAGACTACAGACCTAAATATTGAAGGTATAGGGTTTCTATATAGATATTTCATCTTTGTTATGAAGATAGAAGACAAAGGATATCTTCATAATAAATGTACCTTCATGACTTTGGGAAAAACAAAAATTTCTTATATAGAATGTAACAAGTACTAACCATAAAGGAAATATTAATGTATCAGATTTAACTACAATTAAGATTTTTTGTTCATCAAAGGATAGCATAGTGAGAGTGAAAAGGCAGGCCACAGGATGGGGGACAACACTTGCATAACTTACACCTAAAAAAAGACTCAATCCAAAATATATAAAAGAACTCAAAGAGTAAGAAAAGAAAGATAACTCAATGTGATAAAAAATGAAAAAAAAAAAAAAGACTTAACGAGACCTTTCACAAAAGAACATACCCAAATGACAATATCCCTATGAAAAAAAGGCTCAGTGTCATTTAATCAACAGAGAAAAACAATATAAAAACATCAACCTGTCAGAATGGATAAAAATGAAAACCAATGGTAATAAAAACTAACAATACAAAGTCTGAGTAATAAGTAAGGGTGTAGAGCAAGTGGAACTCTCATACAATGCAACAACCAATGTATCTATTTTGGAATATTGTTTGGCAGTATCTATAAAATTGAACATGTACATACCCTATGACCAAAAACTTCCACTCCATTTTATACCAACATAAACTTATGCACATGTGTACCAAAAACATGCCAATAAAAAAGGTTACAGAATGCATATAATAGATATTCAATAGCATTAAAAATGGATACTTCCAGTAAGATGGAGGAATAGGCAGACAAGCGACATAGACCCTCTTCAACAAAGAAAAGAAAAACCAATTGACAGAGATACAGAAGATAATTCTGGAGCCCTGAGCTTTGAAAGGAACTATACAGAAGTGGAGTAGGCACCAACTAGTGGAAAAACTTTAACAAAAACAGTGAATACAGAGATGGTTGGAGCTGCAGACTGTGAGCTACTCTGACGAGACCAACGGCCCAATTATTTCCAAGTGGTGTTGAGACCTGAGAATTGACCTAAAGATCAGTCCCGGTCACCAAGGGCTGCAGGGACAACTGCTCTGGTGGCCTATGACTAGGAAGGGAAACAGCAAGGAGGGAGACAACCTGAGCTGTGGACTTTCTGTTGTTCTGTTGTCCAGAGGGCACAGCCATTTTGATTGTTTACATGTGGCAGCCACTTTGGATATTT